TTCACGGTTCTAAGCCCGCAACCAAGACCGCTACCGAACACGGTTTTATTGCTATCGGATATTCAGTTTATGGATAGTCATTGATTCTTTTTTCCTTCTATCTATGTAAGATATTAATCGTTAAAAATGAAAAACGTTGAAAATAAATGGCTATTTTGGAATGGAAATTCGTTGGTTCTGATTCAATCGACATTTTAAACATCGTCGTAGGATGATCGTGTAGTTTCAAACAGCCCGCGCTCGAAAAAGGCAGGAAGCAGCGTAAGCGCGCGAACACTCGGTTCGGATGAATCGTTAACGAAGTCGAGAGCAGCGGCAATAGCGGTAAATAATTCCAAGAGAAAAAAATGCACAACATTCGATCGAACGGTCCAGATATTTTTCATTTCGAGAAACGATTCGAAGAAATGGTTTACGAGGTTCAGCGAAACAAGGTCGGCAACGAATAATTTCTTCTCGATTTCAAAGGTACACGTATAGGTTGTCCTTTTAGACGGAACTGGAGAAATTCGAAAAGGAGCATCTTTCGATCCGCGAGCAACTTTATTTGAAGGGATCGCTTCTCGAATGTGAGAGAAAAGCGTCGCAAGACTTGCGAGCTCGTCTAAAGTTAACGACGGAAACGATCGAGCGTTTGGAAGAGGAGAAGATGCGCGATCGAATATCGTATTCGAATTTGTCCAGAAATTACGACAGCGTGGTCAAACAGCGCGATATTTTTGCGGGGGAAGCTTTGTCCAGTCGAACGGAGGCGGCGAAATTCAAAATGAAAGCAGAGGCTCTGGAGAAAGCGTTGCATCGAGAAACGCAGCGAAGGGAGGAATTAGAAAAGGCGTTGACCGAATTTCTAAACGACAACCGGAAGATTATTGGAAACATCGACGTGTAGGGAAAGATTTCTGATTCGGAATAAACATTTAATATACGATACGACCTCGAGGTCTAGCGGAGCGTTGACTTTTAATGTATTTCTATTTCACTTTTAAGGGGCGTCGCTAAAATTTCGAAAGAACAGAAATGTCTATTAGAGAACGCCGAAGCTGTGATCCGTTTGAATAAACGTCTGCAGACCATTGGACTTTGTTTCCATGCGATCAACGAAAAAAACAGGGCAGAGATCAAGGACCTACGGCAGAAATTAATTGGCTTCTCGATGAACGAGTCGAAATCGTTATCCGTTAATGAGAAATTGCACCCGGAAATGGAAAGTTTATGCTTCAAGGTATACGCTTGGTTGGGAATAATCGGAAAACGATTTTCAACTTACCGATTAGTCTGTTTGTCCAGTTAAAGGAACTATTGCTGGAATTGAAATCCAAAATGGAAGATTCCACGTTGATCGAAGAAAATATCAAGAAAATTTTCCAAGAATTGACGTCTCTGTACGACAGCAGCCGGTCGATCGGGCATTGTTAATTGGGAAAAGATAATAATTCGGGTAGATTGTCGATTAATAACATTTATTTTAATTTCTCGATACATCTGGTAAGTGATATGTTCATTGAAATCGATAGTATATTAAATAAAGTTACATTGCTCGTCGTTACAAAACGATTGAAAAATTATGAATAATTTTATATACACAATAACGTTAATGGTTTCATGGTGTACAGCTTTAAAGGATATTTAGATGTTAATTCGTTGCCCTTTCAATTTCATTCTCGTGTTAATTCTCCCGTGAATTCTCAATGGAAGCAGTTCTATGGAACTCGAAGTAGGAAAAGATCCACGAGTTTGTCGATTGCTCTTCCGTTGATACAAGACCTTAACGAAATTGTAACGCAGCTGACGATATTAATGAACATGACAATGAAAATAATAATTTGTCATCGAAGAGTTAGGAAAGGCAGGTTTCAACAATAAACGAAGACGAATAGGATTAATATAAAATGTATTATAATAATCGTATATTTAAGTATATTTAAGTATAAGGGGAAACAGATCGGAACCCCTTTTTTCTTACAAAAAAAATGAGAACCCTCTGTTTCCTCGAAAAACTATTACAACAAGCGTTTCAAACGAAGACGAAGTCCGTGTTCCACCTTATTTTGTTTGTTTCTTTATTTTTAGTTACTTCAACAATAGAACAAGGAAAAAAGTGAAAGAAAGTCGAATGAATTGTCTGAGTTCTGAATTTGCGCTAATTTATTAAATGAGTTAATCAATGAAGATTCCCCTTCGATTCGGTGAAAAAGCTAACTTGACAATGTGTGTGTATGTATGTATGTGTTGTGTGTCAGCGTACGTGTCATGTGTCTACCTGCCTGCGCGCGCGCGTGTGTGTGTGTGTGTGTGTGTA